AATCAGCTCATTTGCTCAAGCCCTAATGGAGATATTCAATTTTTTTTTGGGTAACATGACTTTTGGGTCACCCTGTATATGACTCTTCGTCATTTTGGTATTAGTTGGGTTAAGTGTGATGATTTTTTTAAAGAGATTGGTGCATTAAGGGCTACAACAGCTAATAGATGGGCTAATACTTTTTTATCTGGTAGTTTTGATAAATTTATTAATGAAGGTCGAGGTGGAAAACATATTTCCAGTTTTTACGATGTATTTCCTGATATTGAATTATTAGCTAAAAATTATTCTGTTCAAAGATGTGCTGCAAAAGCAGCTGATTTTGATGCATTTGAACTAGCTAAATTTATAGATGAACAATTTTATATGTTAACTAGTATTAAAAAAGATTCTAATGATTCATTGATTCGTTCAGTTAAATCCTGCCGTCTGGATCTTCGAAGATGGGGCGCTCGTTTCGAATCTAATTCGCAACGTCCCTACTTCGAAGGCCACAAGAGACAGGACGTAGTTCAACACCTTACAACATTTTTACAGCATTTTCTTCCAAGAAAAGATTCATATTATTTAATAAGTGAAGGTGCACAGCCAAAATGGCAAATACCCACAGTTGGGACACCGACTATTCTGATCTGTATGTTGTGATAGAGTAAAAAGGACTTATTCTAAAAATTATTTTGCTTTTTCTGCATCTTTCACTTTTAGTTCGCGATGAGAGTACATTCCGAAGCGGTGAGGTATCAGCTAAACGCTGGTTATACGATGATCAGGTACCATTTTATTCTAAAGGTCGCGGTAGATCTAATATGGTATGAGACTTTTTGATAATGCATCAATCAGGTCCATTTTTTCAACTAAGTCCATCTGAATATGATAAAGCATTATAAAAATATCTAGAATTAGATGAAGAACAACATATTGATTATATAGAACGTTCTGCTAGTGCATCTATGCACGTCGGTTTTGATGCTTATTTTGATAATGCGACAATATTAACACAATTTGAGCGATTATTTAAATTACTTGAATTCAAAGAATGTTTTAACAATCATAAAATTGAAATCATAGTTGATAATGCTCGTACGCATTCAGCTCGTAATTATAATTTATCTGATTTCGGAAAAGGAATTTCAACACGTTGTCCTGTAGATCGACTTCAATGGGTGGATGATAAGGGTGCTACACAATCATTATCATGTTATTTTCAGCAAGGTTCTAATCGAGGAAAATCCAAAGGTTTATTTGAAATTGCAGTCGAACTCAATTATAATCCTTCACCAAAACTAAAATTAAGTGAATTGCGTCAGTTACTTGCCCATCATCCGGCATTTCAAAACGTAATTTTTCTTAGCTAATACGGAAACGTTAAAAAAATTTTCTCTTTTCTCATCTCCTAGATCTCACGATTAGAACAATTGGCACAGAGATAGGTATAAGTGCACTTTACGTAAACACCTTTGTTTTTGCGATTTTTTCACTTCTACGGTTTTATTATGCGCAGAAAACGATAAAACAACTTAAAAAACTTGGCGGTCATCGATCTGAACCGATTTTAGACCATTGAAAACTTTCAAAAGTACTCGATGCTCCTGTACTTAATATAAAGAGGAAATTGAAGAAAAATTCCTAGAGAACAAGAAAGTTTTGTTATGAATAAAACATAAGTGAAATGAGATCAAAAAAATGTGCATTCAGTACTGTATAAATGTGAAGGGATGATCCAATAATATATCACGATGAATAAATGAGAAATCGTTTTATTCAAAAACAATAACATAACAAACACATATTCGAAAAGAATATCAATTGAATTCATTATCCTCTGCTTCTTCACTCTCAATTTCATAGTCCTGAAGGACCTGCTCTTCTTCATTGCGAGTTGGATCGTAGAGCTGACCGGCCATTCGAAGAAACTCAACGGTGGAATCCAAGTTCAGCGCGCGACAACGCTTCATGAACATGTATTTGGCCAAATGAGATGGAAAAAAAGTCATTTTTGCGATGATATCCTAGAGAAAGTACTGAGTTCAGAGTACCCATGTACTGAGAAAGCCTTAGCAGGGTACCCAATATGGGTACTTCGAAAATTCTCAGTAATTATACTGATATAGGTACTGCAAGGGGAACCAATAAAAGTACACTCACTGAACAAGTACTTGTATGGGTACCCGCATCTGTATTTTCACTGAGGAAAACTGTACTGGGTACCCTACATTTGTTGCGTTCTGTGTAGCGACTGTTCATTCACCGTTTTCTTTTTCACGCACGGCTCCATATAAACAACTGGGAAAAACATAACAAATTAATGTATTTTCATACTAATTTTTTCTAGATTACTTCTTGACTGTTTCTTAGTCGAGAACATGCCGATCTTGATCGTAGATGAAGAGCGGACTATTCTGAAGTGGTCTGATGAATATCCGACCAACTCAAGTCCGGTATTTCATCTGCTGAGTTTTCTGAATTGAAAAAATTAAATATAATAAAATCGAAAAAAATGTAATAAATTGCTTTCAGAGAAATAAAAATGAAAAAAGTCAAAGATTAGGTTCGATCCTGAACATACTGAAATTTTGACAGCAGGGTACCTAGAAATACTGTACAATAGTACCTGATTGAGTATCTGATCAGTATCTTCAAGTACCCAGTTACTACACATTTTGTAGCAGGGTACCTGCCAAAGTACCACTTAGGTACTTGAAAGTACCCACAAGTACTTTGGTACCCAAAAGTTCCTGTGACATACTGGTAACAGGGTACTTGTTCGGGTACCCTTATCTCAGTACATTCTCTAGGGTACTGAGGCATGACGACTTTTGCGTGTCTCCAAGAAGTTTCGATGGAATTGGTACATGCACCAGTTTCAGGATCCTTGAAAGTGATCGAATGATTAACCTTCAGGTGTTGATAGCCCTCCTCACCCAAACTGTCGTAAGAATCCCAACAATCGGAGATGATGGTTATTCCTGGGAGGATCCAGTCCTTGATGATAGGAATCAGTGTAGCTGCATCTCTAAAATTTTAACAACACAGCATCAGCTTAATACACTGGAACTTCTAATTCGTACTAATTTATCTCTCTTTAAAATAAAACAAACCTTTTCTCAATTGGAATCATCGCAATACGACCGGTTCCTCGTTCAAATATTCCAAACACCCATTGACCTTCGACTAGATGGCCTTTGTAATACTTCCTGCGTCCGAATTTGGACTCATCAATTTCCACTTCAACTCCAAAGCCACCGAACTTTTGCTTGTTGAGAATGAGAGCATCATAAATCACTTCCCGACAATAAGAAGCCCAATTCACAGCAGTATGCTTCGAAATCTCCACTTGCAACCCTAAAGTATCAACAGTTAAACTACCCAAAACAAATGAATCAGGTGTGCAATTATTACTTACCAATAATATTCAGACCAGCATTCATGACCCACAAATTCACGAAGACCAAGATTTGCCAAATGGACAAGTGAGATCGAGCAAAGAACATTCCTTTGCGAAATCGAGCTTGATAAGTGCATCTCTTCTTGTCCCGTCTCTTTTTACTAATTCCACCCCCAGTTTCAATCCAGTTGTGACAACTCCATCGGAATCCATCAATACTATAACACAGCGATCATTAAAAAATACAAATAAATAATAATTAATAACTTACTCGGAATCACATACACCAAGTCGAAGTGGACCAGAACATTCAGGACATATATAGTTTGACTCCTCAGGAATCAGACCCCACTGTTGCAATTGCTGGACAAGAGCTTCCTTCTCTTTACACAAATCAAGAATTGATCGAATATTGAGCGGCATATCTTCAATAATGAAATATAAAAACAAAGAGAACTTTTTTAAGGAAAAAAACAATTTGAATTATCATGAAATAGTTGAAACGAAATAAAATTTGTTTTAAAAATTAGGTAATGAAGACCAAGCACTTTTGAAAGTTTTCAATGGTCGAAAATCGGTTCAGATCAATGACCGCTAAGTTTTTTAAGTTGTTTTATCATTTTCTGCGCATAATAAAACCGTAGAAGTGAAAAAATCGCAAAAACAAACGTGTTTCCATAAAGTGCACTTATACCCAGAAATATAGTATATCAGTGATATTTTGTCTAAAATATCATTGTGAGATCAATGCCATTGAAGGATGTTGGGCTCATATGAAGCAGTTTATAAGAAAAAGAACTGATCAGAAATATCACACGATGATAAGGCTAATAGAAGAGTCACGAACAAATTTTGAACAGCAACAAGTTCATCTTAAGCTTTTTCGAAGGTTTTGGCACTGTTTAGAAGCATATAATGAAAGGAAAACTATACAGTGAAGTTCTTCAACTATTTTTCAGTAAAAGCTGCTCGAGAATCACCAAAGAACATCTTAAAATTAGTAACACTAATTTCAATAGTTAATACTTTGTTTTCTCTCAATTCTTCATTTATCCACTCTCTTTCTATGTTTTTTCTTATCGACATTGTTTTCATATTGATACTCTTCTTTTATTGATACCCGTTACTTATTGATATTCGTGTAAAAAATAATAGGAATATAGGCAGAACTGCTATATCCTATGAAATACCATCGATTAACAGTAAAAAAGCTAGTTAATTAATTTTTTTGAAAAGAAAGTTTAGAATTTT